CGGAGGGTGGAGGAGCAGCACAGAGTGAGTATAAACCTACTGGAGCTCAGGGGCACATTGTAGCAACAAAAAAACAGAGTGATGTCACAGGGAGGCTTGACCTGATTGGCTGGGAGGAAATCTGCGCTAAATTTGAAAAAGAACACAGCAAATAAGTATCAACAAATTTAATTAAGTCATTATTTTAAAATTTATATAAATTAATAAAGTAATTAACTAAGTAGAGATGGCTGCACAGGTGATGTGCTGTAGCTGTATGATGTGGGAGCTGGCTGATCCCATTGCAAACTGCAGTGACCACATCTGCAGCAAGTGTTGGTTGCTCGATGAACTTCAGCTCAGAGTTGATGAGCTGGAATTGGAGCTTCAAACCCTGCAGCACATCTGGGAGGGGGAGATGTACCTGGACAATTTGTTTCAAGAGGCAGTCACACCTGTAGATTAGGTCATTCAAATTTGGTCAGTGGCCAAGGACAGCAGGGTGTGACTGTAAGTGAGGCAGGTAGAGGGATCCTGCAGCCAGCAACAGAGGAGCCTCAGCTCTTGACCTTGTCGAACAGGTATGAGGTACTTGCTCCCTGTGTGGATGAGGAAAAGGGCTGCAGGGAGGATGAGCCAACTGACCACTGCACTGTGGTACAGGAGGCCATTCAGGAGGGAGGAGCAAAAAGACAAGTGGTAGTTTAGGGGTTTCTATAATTAAGGGGATAGATAGTATCCTTTGTAAGCAGGATCGAGAGTCTCGCATGGTGTGTTGCCTGCCCGGTGCCAGGGTAAGGGATATCTCTGACTGGCTTGAAAGGATATTGGAGCAGGAGGGGGAGGATCCAATTGTTGTGGTCCATGCTGGAACAAACAACATAGGCAAGACTAGGAAAGAGGACCTGTTCAGAGATTATCAGGAGCTAGGAACCAAATTAAAGAACAGGTCCTCAAGGGTTATGATCTCCGATTACTGCCCAAGCCACGTGCTAATTGGCATAGGGACATGAGAAAAAGGGAAGTAAACACGTGGCTAAAAGAGTGGTGTGGGAAAGAGGGGTTCCTTTTCATGGGGCACTAGCATCATTATTGGAACAGGAGGGATCTGTACCGTTGGGACGGTCTCCACCTGAACCGAGCTGGGACCAATGTTCTAGCGAAGAGAGTAAATAGGCTGGTCAACGGGACTTTAAACTAGAACGTGGGGGGGGAAGGGAAGGGTAAAACTTCCTCCAGTGGGGAACAATGCACAGGATAACATCTGTAGGGTTGGGTTCAACTGTGTGGAAAAAA